TCCTTGGCTTCAGGGATTTTAATGAGACATTCGGATCAAATGCTCTGTTAAGAATATATAGTCCTTGTATTAGATCTTTCCGCTCCATTTTCCTAACTGAATGAGTTAGCATGGAGTATTATACAGCGATAGAGGTATCCCCCAATCAATATTGTACTTTAGCTTATATACTGCATTTGCATAGCATATCGACAATCAGTACACGATTTATGTCAACAATGGATCTCCCTTTCTGGCTTTCCTGTCCTGTTCTCCTCAAACCAAACCATTTTCAATGCGCTGAGCCTACGTGACTGCTTCTGGTGCTTCGGAATCCTACTTGGCGAAGAATCATGCTTCGTAATTAGGTTTGAACAAATAATATTGATATATTAATAATTAATAATCTAGGTTCGGACATTCCATAAATATTATTATCTAACTTAGGTATTTTAATATCACTTGTACTAATATAACCTTTTAATTATTTTTAATTTTACATAATGAGACACTAAGTGATTAATATATCTTTGACTTTGATTTGTTTCCTTCAATTAGCTATTGAATTGTAAATGTATTTTAAAAGTTGATAACTTTTGTATTTCTTATCGGTTTTACATATATTACATATCAAATTAATCATCTTTTGATGATCTTCGTTTTGATATCCATATTATATATATTAAATAAATAAATAAATTATATTTTTACTTATAATAATAAAAAAATAATATTTATTAAAATTCATTAGAAAAATAAAATTATTTATCAATTGATATATTTATTTTTAATGTAGTTATATGTTGTAAGTTAAAAATTATTATAATATAATACAGGTAAGTCGCACAAATAAAAAGTGTTATACTAAATAAATAATAATATATACATTTTTGTAAAAGGTATTTAAATTTTCAACTATTTTTTTCATTAATTTTAAATTTTAAGAAAAAAATTAGCAAGCAACCGTGTAATACACGGGTGTTATACTAGTTTTTCAATATATGTAGATAAATTAAAGTTAATGTAAGATTAAATTGAAGGCATTATTTGGACAAGTGGAGTAAATTTTTTTAAATAATATATAACTAGACTCATATAAAATCTGAAATTCAACTACATGTAGGATTCTCTCAATAGTCAACACTTTATCTGTTTAATTTATCACACACCCACACGTCCAACAGATCTTGTTTGCCTCCACAAAACGCGACTTTTTTCTTCTCTCTACAAATATCAAAACAAAACACCCAAAAAAGGATTCCAAAGTTTGTATTCCAAACACGGAACTAACCAAAATAATTATCAAAAATTAAAAAACAGCCCCAATTTTGCTTTTAGCCCCCAAAACTGAACAGGAACCCTAACCCTAGCCGCAACCACCGCACGATACGCACAAATCTCCGCCTTCCTATCATTGTATCTGTCGAGGCTGACGCTGTAGATTGGTTATTGGATCTGATTGTTTTTTTTTCTTCGTAGGGTGTACTGTATTAGGGTTTGGTTTTTGTGGGAGATGTGTTGCTGCAGGGGCGGAG